CCGTGGACCCCCTCCCTGCGGATACCTTTTTGCTTTCCCTCCTGTATCCCTGAAGATGAAAAAAAGCTACTTGTCCCATCTATCTAATAGTGAAGTGCTTGAGAGTTGGACTGTGGGTTTCCCAATGTGGACTCCTTTTTTCTCCTTCCTCTATAAGAACAAGAGGTGGAACTGATAGGCGGTAAATAGGGTGGGGGCTTCTATCAGCCGGTGAGAGCATGAGGGTGGTGGAGCCTTTAGATGCTAGTGGGTAAGAGTGAGTGTGAGTGAGTCGATTCCTTCCTTTAGGTGAGAGCAAGAAGAAAAATTGACAGAGGATGAATGGCCTCTCTGTATCTTTCAATTGGGATTGGGTGGCATGGTACTGTGCTGGTTCACCTCCTTTCTCTGGGTCTGATTGTAGTCTGTGGTTGCTGGAGAGAAAAGCCTATACTATATGAAGTACTGTAGGGTTCAGTACACATCCATATGAGGCTGCGAGGTGAACACATGCATCACCATGAGATGAGGTCTCATCAGTATGCTAATGATACATAATTATATATATTTATCTACCACTAGTAAATTAAATTATGCTGGGAACATTTTATCCCAGTGCCTGGAGACTATGAGGATCTCAATGAAGAAAAACAGGTTTCAATAAGATTGAGTGGCTTTGAGATTTTGGACCTTCAGTTCTAGGATGATGCCATTATTGGTGCTGAATGGGTTTGGCACTATGTCCAGGCAGATCCGGTGTACAATCTGGAGGTCATCCTGGATCCATGATTCCTGCTTGGAGGACAGGTGGCAGTCATGGCTTGGAGGGCCTTTGCACAGCCTTGTAGTTCATTTGTTCACGGATCATTGGGTTCTGCTCACAATCACTCATGCCTTATACGCCTCCCACTTGGATTTCTGTAATGTGGGGTTCACCTTGAAGAATATCCCATCTTATCTGGCAGAGAAGGCATGCTATGGATCCTATCTGTTAAGAAACTACACTTGGTGAGTCCAGGAGGCAGGCCTTCTATGCCATGGTGTCTGCTTTATGGACTCTTCTCACATCAGATGCAGGGGTGGGTTCTACTTACCTTTACTACCGGTTCGCAACGGGATCACGCGTACACCTTGCTTCTGCGCATGCACAGATCGCCAATGATGACATCCGGGGTGGTGGGCGGGACCTCCTGCCGGTTTTACTACTGGTTCTTGTGAACCGATCTGAACCGAGGTCAACCGACCACTGATCAGATGTGACATTAGCTCCATCCCATTTAACATTCTGCAAGTCCTTCAAGATCTGGCTATACCATTAGACCTGCAGGTCTCAGAGGATCTGAGAGATCTTGGGGTGGCTCCCCTAGACACATAGAAATGAACCATATTTACACATCACTAAAAAGAGTAAAAGAGCTAAGGAGGAAACAAAAAGACCAGAACATGTCTCCTTCAACAGCCATCACCCAGATAAGCAGGGATTACATCAGGCAAACTGTCAAGCAGAAAATAATACGCTAATCAAGATGCTACCAAGGAGAAAACCCCACCCCCACCAATACTGGTAGGGCAAGTTACTGTACATAAACAGAGGGCAAAACCCACACTCATATTACCTAGTTGGGTAATGAAATGTGCAAGAAACCAAATTCAAAGAGCACAAAGGACTCCATAAAACAATTACAGTGTTAAGTACTAGTATCAGCCACTAGATGGCAATATAAACTTTCTTGATAGAACCCACAATATGAAATTATGTCCTAATGGTGTTTGTTTAGTCTAAATTCTGCCATTCATGAATGAAGGCGATGTAAATATTTTCTCAGCCAGCCTTCTCCAGTTTTGAAAACAACTATGTGAGGTCAGGGAAAAAATTAAAAATAATAAAAAAAACATATTATTATTAGAACTAATTGAAATATCACAAAAATAATCATCTGGTCATATACTGTATGACAACAGGTAGGTAGCAAAGTTTTATTTTTGTTAAAATAGATCTAATATTGATAAAGTAGTTGAAGTCTCTTGGAGCTTAATCCAACACTGCGGTCCAACTACAGTATAATATTGCCATTGTATCCAGTTCATGATGTGCACCATCAAGTAGTCTTGGGAGGAAAAAGGTAGAACTTCTTTTGTGCTTCAGAGCAGAATTCACAAAGGTTTCATCAAATATAAAATCTGAGAAGATGCTTCAATATTATAATCGACCTTTCCCAATCTTCTCTGCATTCGCACATTGGTTCAAGTGCTTGTTTCCCAGTGGTGGGTTGCTACCGGTTCACCCCAGATCGGGCGAACTGATAGCGGCAGCAGTGGGAGGCTCCGCCCACCTACCTGGATACTTCTGCGCATGTGCAAAAGCATTGCGCACACTTGTGAGTGCGCACCCACGAGCGAACCTGTAGCGATGGGTTTTGAAACCCGCCCTGTTGTTTCCCCATCAGTCTCAGAACTGAAGTAGCACATGGCCAGGTAGACAATTTGGAAAAGATCTCAAAGCAGGCTACTAAGCCTTCGAAAGACGTAGATCAGGGGTGGGTTCTACTTACCTTTACTACTAGTTCACAACGGGATCGTGCACGTGCACGGCCTGGCTTCTGCATCAGATCGCTTCTCATGATATCAGGGTCAGTGGGCGGAGCCTCCCCCTGGTTTTACTACTGGTTCTATAGAACCAGTATGAACCGGGGGCAACCCACCACTGATGTAGATGCTTGAATGCATTTCCCAGCCCCAATAGATAGTTTTACCAGTGATTCTATCAGTTTCATTTGTGCGTCAGTTGCTAACAGAATACATACATTATTTTCAGAGAAGGCTGAGCCAAAATAAGAGTTGATATTTGATTTAATGGCACTTTTACATCAAAAGTCTTTTGTTAAGAACTGTAAACCTGAGTAGACCAGAACAAAGTAGTTTAATTCTCAGAATGCTGCTTATCTTGGAATTGGTTATTCTGTTTTTCATGTTTATTTCTAGATGCTGATAACATTTCTCTAGCTTTTAAATGTACTCCTCTTCAGATGTTTGAGATGGTTCTTTCCTTTAAGACCTCTAATATCAGTGACATATTGTATGAACAGATCACAGCAGCAGAACCAGCTGTGTCAAACACATTATGCCTTTACTCTGATGACCATATTTTAAATGTATTTTAAGAATAAATAGCAACAAGAAATAAGAAAGAAAACAGAAGGAACAACTGAAAGGATGGGGCATAATAAATAAATAAACAGGGGAGTCTGTCAGCACTTTTTCAGACTTAACAGAAATATGTTTTTGTGAGTTATCTAAAGTTTATGTTGTTAGTCTGAAAATGTGCTACCAGATTCCTTCTGATGTTGGGATACCAAAGACAGGTCTGTTCCCACAATGATTGATAATAAACAAGAAAACATTATTAATGGCTCATCTTGAAATCATGACAGTGGGATTATAAAGGAGGCCTCTTGGGCCCTTCATGTGCAAAGCTATATTAGAAGATTTCCCAACACTGTTGACAAAAACGTATGAAAATACCTGTGGTTTCCTCTTTATAATTTAATTTATGTGTTTTCCTCTTATACGAAGAGTCATTTTAGCAGTTTTGCTGCATCATCAGACGGAGCCTAGTCACAAGATTTAGTTCTACTCTGTTTTTAAAGAACTGGGAACATTTGTCTTGTGACTTTTCTCAATTCATTGGAATCCCTGTAATCAAGAACTGTCATCTAGGAGATATTATGGAGAGCTGGTATAGCAAGCTTGGATCTGAAATTCAGAAAATTAATTGAAACACCTTACTTACCCCTACCTGAATATCTTTATTTTTATTTTTTTTAGTTCTTAGATAGGTTAATCTATTTTACTAAATGAGCCAGAATGTCAGCAAACATCAATTGGGGTACCCATTTAAAATTTATGTGGAAGAAAAACAGTTACATTTGACATAGGCTTGTAAATGAATAAATAAAAATTAGATCTAATTTCTTCCTATCAGTCAAAGTGTATTTTCCCATGGAAGTATAAAAGAAGATTTTTGCAAAGAGATCACTGGAAAAAAATATTTATTTAAATGAAGAAAACATGTCATTGCTTTTAATTCTAAATTTAAAAGAATGGTAAACTCAGATTGTGGAAGTTATAGAAGAATATGTATGTGTGCAGGTGTGTGTGTTGATATATTCACTTCTATTCTTCAAGATTGCAGCCAATTCACTTTCCTATGGTATGTATACAATTCATTTCAATTGGTCTATCACTTATTTAGATTAGTCCTGTTTAATTTTTTAAAAATGGTTATCAACAGATGCAATCCATTTGTGATATCAAAGTGGTAAACTAAACTTGGAGAATATACAGCAATGGCAAAATTAACAGTATATATTCTTAACAGAAGCTTAACTAAATTTAAGCAAGAATGGCTTATTTATATATACTACAAGGCAAGCATATACTTAGAGTACAACTCCTAAGGGGGGGAAAATAAATATATTATAAATATATTGATTGTAATTATTATTGGAGCACAGTGGGAGGAAATAATAAAATTTATAACCAAGTAGTTTTTAAATAACATTTTATTGAATTTTCCCTTTTCCAGATGTATTTTTTCTTTTGAGTATTTGTATTTAACTTCTGAATACTTAAAATACTTAAACATAGATGAGATCCAGACTTAAAATACTGAGGAGGTCATTGGGATTTGGGTAGGAAAGTATGTTTTTTTTCACCTGTTTCTTATTTATAATTAATACTGTAGCCTCCTTGATTATAAGATACAATTTTGTATTATAAAATACAAAATGCTATGGCTGCTAAATTAAATTTCTTCTACTGCAGCTACTATGAGAAACAATTCTTAATTCCTCTTTCTCCCCCATACAAAATATATTAACAGAAGAAAATGTGAATATTCAATTGAATGGATTCCATCAAATTCCATGGATTTTTGTAGATTATAATTTGTAGCACCCAGGAGTAGCATGTGAGATGATTTCAAGTTTTACTGTTCTAAGAAACTAAGTTCAACCAATACATTTGTTAAGAAAAATGTATGACACTTCTCAGATATCTTTTATTAAAAAAATCCTTGCAATAAAATTGCTTAGAATTCACAATCCTTCAGCTTTTACAGTTGCAATATTTTACTAATACAGAATAACACAGTATCACATATTTACATTATAATCCTCTATATAACAAAAATAGCCATGTTTTACTACCGAATAATGTTTTTCCAATATTTCTCCTGACCCTCGTTGAGTCACTGTCTCAAATGAAAAGTACAGAAAGGACAACAATAAAGAAAAAAACCAACGTATCTGCCTCTTGATTTTAGGCAAGTCCCTTTAGTGATAGTGTCTGACTCCCACATTCTCCAAGTGATATAAAGTGCATTGGAAAGGAAGGTGAGAGATATAAAAAAGATACAGAAATAAAGTAACAGGAGATATACTAGCGACTGAAATATATTTGCAACACTTTACTAAATATTTTAGGAAAACAAATTCTTCACAAACCACTGGTGCTTTGCATAGGCATACACTCCACATAGTATAGCAAAAAAAGATCGGTTTATAAAGAAAGCCTTTGCCTATGCAAATATTAATGGGCGATCGTGATGATTTCCATCTTCCTCTCTATTTTGCTAATCAAGTTGAAGACTAGGCTGTACTTTACTGTGCTGGATTGTTTTCCTCTGTCAAACCAGGAAGAAAAAAAAACACAGAATAGCTAAAACTTAAAAAGATTAGTATGTCTTTAGAGGAGGCTTACTCAACAAAAACAAAATACATGAAAACAAAAACAAAAACAACTCCCCCAAAACAAGCAATCTTTTCTAACAATTTCATTACCTTAGGTTTTTCTGTTTAGTACGATCAGTTTATACAGCACTTCACAATATTAGCATGACTCAAAGGCCAGCCTGCCTCAAATGTTTGGAATGGCAAGGAGAGATTACGATACTCTTTCCTCTGATTATTTTAGCCATCCCTTGACTTCTTCAGAATATTGGTTTGCTACTGATCAAGAAACTGGTCAGCATAAGCCCTGACCCTGGTCATTCTGATAGCTCTTCCTCTAGGTCAGGAGTGTCGAACTTGAGGCCCACGGGCCGGATGTGTCACGCGCTGGCCACACCCACCCCTAGTTTAGTGAAGAAAAAAAGTTTGATACATCACATGACGACATGTCATCGTGAGTTTGACACCCCTGCTCTAGGCAGATATTGTTAACGTATCAGCAGGTTTGATGTAATTCAAATTGGAGATTCTGTTTTGTCCTCTGAAACAAAGGCAAAAAGAAAGCTAAACCATGGCTTCTTTCTAATTTGCAGTTCATTTTCTTCCACCATTTGTAGGAGTACGAATGCTTGTTTGCTAATAAGCCAAAATTCTAAAGAGTTCTGGTTTACAGTGTCATATTCATGTGTGTATGCAATCTCCATTCTCTATTTTTAAACTGGTTTAAAAGCACAGTTATAAATTTTTAAACAATGAATTAATGCTACAACTGTTAGATGAGTGAAAGAGGAAATGACCTTATGGCTTTACAGAATGCTAGGCAATCAGCATAGACAGAGCTGACTCCAGCTTTAAACAGAAAAACAAAGGTTTTCCTGAGCAAAATTCTGAAGAGCAAACAGTAACACCTGAATAAAATTCAGCATGAGTGCTGCCAAAGCAGTCTCCTCATTCAGATATAAATTGGGAAATATTCCAAATCCAGCAGATAGAAGCAAATTTCTTGTTGAAAAACAGACATTGCAAAAAAATGCAATTAGAAATAATTTAGTTGCCACTATTTAAAAGGAATTTTTCTAGTTTTTTTTTTTAAATTGGCATTTGCTGGTATAGCATGTAGTCTATATGATACAGCAGGATAGAACTTTGGAGCTATTATTGTAATCCAAATATTTTTGTCTTTATTGATGAAACTCTTTATCAAATTTTTTTTTGTGTGTTTATAAAGTACTTTAAATAAAAAATATTTTTGAGAAATGGATGGAATGTACAGTTTGACAAGTACAAAATTATTTTAAAATGCTAATAAGTACAAGGAACATCTTGCTATAAAAATAACAGCCCTTCCCACCCACCAAATTAATTCCTGCTTTACATTTTATTCTATTTATAAAATGGTAAATACCTTCATCAGGTGGCTTAGCCATGAAAAAGGGAAGAAGCAATGATACTATGTACATGTAAAAAACATTTTGATATTTCACATCAGTAAACCATTACAGCAAAAGAAATGGGTAACATTTGATGCCTTCAAAACAAACAAACAAGATACAAAAGAGGCAAACAGGAAGAAAAATGTTCATTTTCTTTCTTTCTTTCTTTCTTTTTTTGTAGTCTTCCACACATACATTCTTGTAAGAGACATTCCCAAAAATTATTTGCTGAGAATGATACACTATAAATATTGGATTTTTTGAGAGCCTTTTAGTATTTTTAATACAACTTTCTTTTCATCTTTTTAAAATAATAATGGACATCACTGTCTCTCTTCAATCCCACTTGTGGATGATTCAGCTGAGATAAATTTCCAACTACTAAAGCAACAAATATATTAAGAGAGAAGTTCTAAAAACTGGGATTTTTACAGCAGAGGGCATTCCTCTGCTATGCAGCTGTTAGCAAACACAATCTGCTATGCAGAGACCTACATACTAAAGTATCTTATATTATTTATTATTATTAATATGGATCAATTGCTTCAGTTAAAAAGAAAGAAAACAAAGTTTGTTACAGATCAATCTTTTTTGCTGTTTGCTAGTATTCTATGGCCTGCTTATAACAAACACTTTTTTAAATTAACAAAATGTAGTAAAGCTTTCTCAAAAATCCTGTATACCGTATGAATACTTGGGAAACATTTCAGTGCCTACTGAACTACATGTCTGTCAGTAAAATAGAGAGGGTCTTTATATAACTACCAGCAACATCTGGTGTTTCTACGTGTCTGTACATATTCTATCCTCTGAACTGTGTTTTCCTTTATTATTGATTCATCTGGTTGCCAATGGAAGCACATTCAGAAGCATGATTTCTCTTCCAGCTCTCTGTAACACATACTACGTTCAAGTAGATACTGGAAAAGGCATTGCTTTGAGCCTGCTTCATAGACTTCTTGGCAAAAATACACTCGAGGTGAAAAACTGGCAGCAACACGGCATCTAATAATCATGACGCAGTTTATATTGATGGCATGCTAGAAGTATTTAGTGGGGTGTGATTTCTCAAAGAACTACTGAAAAATAATATCTCGGTTTTTCACAGCCTGTATACTGTGCAAACGAACTACTCTCCCTACACGGTAAGCAAGAACAGAGAAAAGTTTTATAAATACTACTGGAAGCTCATAGAAGCTCAAGAAAGTATGTTCTTACTACTAGTGAAGTTATTAGAATTGCGTGTCGGCAAAGACTGTTCTGCATTAATAAATTTGATTAAATAGATCATCCAATGTAACATTGTATACATTCTCACAAAACCAGCTATATATAGCAACACAACTAGCAAAAGACTTTGCTCTCTACATTATAGATAAGTTTCCCCTCTTGCATTTCCTGTGCAATAGCTGAATGTTGGAGAGCTCATGATGGACAGGTCTTACTTTAATGTTTATAGTGCCACTTGAGGACAGCCTGGTCATTCAGAATACTTGCAGTTCTGCCTTCCAACATGTTAATACTCTTATCCCATGGTTGACCATCAACATGCAGTCCACATTTAGCTCATTTCACTACAGTATAATAATTATTTTTCTTCTCAAAGCTCTTGGTGACAGAAGCAATTATTTGGAAGTAGAAAGTCAGCCCCCAAGAACCTTAGGGGTCCCATCAGGTTGCATTCTGTTCAACAGTTGTTGGGGTTTGAGCAATCTGTAGGCATTAGGCATTTCAGAGCAAAAAGCCATTAGCTTCTAATATCTCTTTCGGCTTTCGCCCTCTCTCTGAATTTACCCTATTCAGTTGGCTGGGTCAGGTTATTTTGCCACAACTCTAAACTGATTCTATGCAGAAAATTATTTCAGACTGAGTACTGTTACTCAGGGGTCTATCTTTGCAATTTTATCAGATCCTTAATATACATTTCTATGTGTATGCTTGAAAGCTGTTGTATTTAGAAAATAATGTTAAACTGATTTTCTGGGTTATTCTATTGCTTTTAATATCAATTATTAGGTAAGACGTCTTCAGTAAATTGGAAGATTAGTAATAAATCCAAAAACACTCAGTAGTTCATTGGCACGAAGCACGTTCTTGGACAGCCAAAAAATAGAAACCAGCGAGATTTAATTACTGATTTCTTTAGTTCAAAGAAAGAAGTTCTAGATGATAAGGAATGACCTTAATTGAATACTGCTCGTCTAAATTAATGACACAGGGAGAAGACAACTTCCTAAAGTAGAGCAGAATATCAGTATTTCCTAATTACATATATTTTCTTCCATTCATTCATGCCCAATTCTTGGATCCTGCCTGGATAAGTCCCTGCAGTTTTCCTAGCAAAGATTTTCAGGGGTGCTTCACCATTACCTCCTTCTCAGGACTAAGAGAAACTGACTAGCCCAAGGTCACTTAGCAGTCACTTGTCCTTAAGGTGGAACTCGAACTCACGGTCTCTTGCTTTGTAAGCTGATGCCTTAAACCAGGAGTCTCCAACCTTGGCCACTTTAAGACTTGTGGACTTCAACTCCCAGAATTCCTCAGCCAGCAAAGCTGGGAGTTGACATCCAGAGGTCTTAAAGTGGCCAAGGTTGGAGACCCCTGCCTTAAACCACTGCACCAAATTGGCTTCCTTAGAGTATTACATACTTCCCCTTTTTTGTACTTTGGAAAAGAAAAACAATCAGTGCAAAACCACACATGCTGTTCGCTGACCACCTACTTGCCACCAGTATATGGGCCATAATAGCTTTTACTGCTTAAAATAATATGTCATTAGTGTTGTTTACCCTCAAATAACATGGAAATGGTTGGAGTGAGACAGGAGAATCACAGGCAGGCCTAGGGACAGTTTACAAGCTAATATTACTTTTGATTATCATAACCCAACTTTGCAGATGGGCTGCATACAGATGGACAACATGGTCAACAACCAAGAACAGCAAAATAGGCATATTTACTGCATCTTACTGCAACACTGTAGTTAACGTAAAGCTGGACATGGCCGTGTAGCAAAGAAAGCTGGCCCTACAAGATTCTTTTGCCCCTGACTACCGGTAATTAATTCAGTATCTCACATGTCATGGAAATGAATTGAACTGAAGACAGGGGCGCCTTATATTTTTAGACGAGAATATTCAAGAGCCTTGGTACTACAGTGGTTTAAAGCACCCTGTTATTAACACAGCTGCCTGCAATTTACTGCTGGTTCGAATCTCTCCAAGGCTCAAGGTTGACTCAGCCTTCCATCCTTTCTAAGGTAGGTTAAATGAGGACCCAGTTTGTGGGGGCAATAAGCTGACTTTGTATAAATATACAAAAGTATGAAGGCTATTGCTTAACGCACTGTAAGCCGCCCTGAGTCTCCGGAGAAGGGCGGCATATAAATCAAATTTAAAAAAAAAAAAAAATACTGGAAGAGTGAGTAGCCTCTTCCAATATTAAAACAACTACATCCTTATAATCTGACAGGTAAATTTTCACAGGCACAGTTAACAATACATGGCAGCACAAGTTATACTTGCCAAGATTCTTTTTGTATTAGTAGAGGAGGGTTCCATTTCCCCCCAATTTGAATCAAATAGCAATAAACAGAGTACTAATATTTCTAGTTCTTTTGTTATTTCAGAGTCAAATGGAACTGCATCCGTTTGGGGGAGATTCCTCATTAAGCTTCATGGCTTAATGAGGAATAAGATGGGGCAGACTGATCTTTCTCAGTGGTCTTTTGTTGAAGGTAATGATCTTAAAAAGAGCAATCTGCTTTCAAGATTGCTGTTTCAGTGCTTCTAATAAATCAGATGCAACAACAAACCTCGATTCAATGTAAATAACCGTCTTTCCCAGGTACACTCACTTTCTACTTGCACTATTCACAGGACCAAAATTAGATTTCATAAGATGTTTTCATCCCCATCCCGAACAAAGAAAGATGGAAGCTGATGGTATCTTCAATGTTTTCCACTTTTGGATTGAATGCCAGTCCTTAGCACTGTCCCAGGTGGCATTTTGCAAAATCTGCTGAAATCCAAAGGTGTTCTGGGATAGGAAGAAATTGCATTAATGATGACATTTGCACTAAAAGGTTTCCAATTTTTGTGGAACATGATAAATTGTGTTGAATACAAAGCTTGGCCATTATTTCATAGTTCAGTTTGCTCACAGAGTAGCAAATTAGGAAAAACTAACCGGGGGGGGGGGACAGAATATAAGAAGAGTAACAAGACAGTACATGGGCTAATTTCAGAAGTTAGCAAATATCTGTTTTCAAGGATTTATTACTGCCATTATTTCTGCCTTTGGATTCACTGTACCAGCCTTTGGAGGTACAGCTGATACAAAAGTCAGACATTGAGATTTAGAAACTTATGGGGCTAAAAGCTCAACTTTTGGACCAGGTTTCATTGCAGTGTCTTTTGATAAAGAAACAATACTTTGATCAAATGGCAATTTAAGGTGGGGAGAGCCTTTTGTGGCTACTGTTATTATACAAGTATTAGGAATAGTTACTGATCTATAGCCAGTTACTCAGGATCCATTAAGTAGATCTAGATCTACTTTTTGCTCACCTATGGATGGATTCTTATAGTACTATTCTACTATAGGAAGAAAAAACAGTCTGTGTCTATTCAGTTTATAAGTACAAGTGACTCTGTTACCTCTGTTTATCTTCTGTGATTGAAATTACTATTTTTATTGTCAGAAGTATTAGCGTAACCTTCTGTGACATAAAATAAGATGAAAAGACCTTCTTAAGTACTTTGATTAAAATACAAATTGCTCTTCTGCATAAATAGCACACCCCATTAAGCAATAGCATAAAACAAGATCACTTAAATTCCAGCAGCTAATGGCACTTATTTTCAACATAAACTAGTTAGGTAAAAACACAACTCTTGCTGAATTTGGCTGTCAGTGTTTCAGTTTTAAATTGTGATTCAGAAATAAGATTAGAAATAACCACCTTTTGATTTACTTCTAAAGTTATCTAGGTTTAGCTTACATACTCCACATCAGGAGCATAAACAACAATAAAAGGTGTTTGTAGCATATTTTCACACATCATAATAAAAATGCCTGAGACTTTCTGAATAATTTTAAGGTGAATTTAAATATGGTACAATCAATTTGATTAAGGGGTATTTAGGAAAGCAGTTCATTCTAAATACAATTTTACTCTCTTCTAGGAATGACAGGATCTCCCTGAATTGGATTACTAGTTATTTATCCAACCATGTTAAAATGCAGTTAACTAAGACGAGGCTGTGTCTGAGCATCCTTTTCCACAATCGTTGAAATGTTCCTTGGAAACTTGGAAAACTGTCACTTGTAAAATCAAGAGTAACTAATAAAGATTTTGAGGGGATAAAGTGATTTTCAAGATATACCTTGTATGATAAACAATCACAGTCCATTGGTAACTACCCTAAACTATCATAGCCCTGCTGCCTTCCTACAACATTTTTATTTTATTTCCATCTAACCGCAAATAATATCAATACATTCCATTCATTCATAGGTCAGAAAGTTCTTGGGAACTTTTTTTAAAAAGTAAAGCTAATTTTAAATCAATCACTATGAAAGCCATTAAGGCATGAAGAGTATATAGTGGTACAAAGGGCCACATATATTGGTTGACCTTTAATTCCATCCTGATTGTTGTCTTCATGCTTCTTCTCTCACTCAGAAGTTATACATCAACGTCCTAAAGCTCAGAGTGGGACCCAGCAGGATTAAATAGCAATTTGCCAACCTCAATCAAACCAGTCTCTGTTCTCTTGCCTGGAAGACCCTGGAAGCACAGATCTTCAAGGGCCGATATTAATATCTTAATAAAAAGAGTCTTCAAATCAAGTCAAAGTTGGAAGCACCATTTCTTCCTGAAGCCATGCTTTCTTCATGTAGAAAATGCCTGGCATTCATACATTTTTATGACCCACCATAATGTTCAGATCTCTGAACTGAATACTTGAATAAGCTTGGGTTATTGAGAAGAAAGAAAAATAATGTCCATCAATGTCAGCTATAATCCTCTTATGGATTAAAATCCCCTTTTCTATCTTTTCTTTAAAAAAACAAACAAAGGTGTGTGTGGGGGAGAGGACTTCATTTCAGTTATATGGTTCTAAGCCACCAAGCAAGGGCATATTCTTCTGGCACATGGATTAGAACAATACTTTTTCACTTTCCATTTTCAATGAAATGAACAAATGTAATTGATAATGAAACTGCATCCAGGCAGACACATCTGTAACTATTGCTTTTCATGACCATCCAGAATGGAATTAACTGGAGTTCGCATAATGTTCCGGATGCCTTTGCAGTTACATATGTGCACGTATGTATATGGGTATTCATGTATATACAATTGACCCAAATCTTACATATGTGCACATATGTATATGGATAATCGTCTGTACCACAACTGATTTCTTCTTCTTGCTACGGCCTGTTCGTTTAGTAGGATGTTTCGATAGTTTCCTTTTTTCAGGATTTCACCTCCTCGCAGTCTTGATCAGTGGAAAGCTCCACATCAGAGAGTCCAACCTCCATTGCCATAATCAATGAAATATCTGAATCACTACTTACTGCTGGTTCTTGCTCACCTGAAAGAAGAAAGAAAAATTAAATCATCATTTAAAAATCATCTTCACACTTCTATTTTGTTCTTCTTGTCATCTGATTTTAAATTTGGTCACCACATTACAAAAAAGATGTTGAGACTTTGGAAAAAGTGCAAAGAAGAGCAACTAAGATGATTAAAGACCTGGAGATGGAAACATATGAAAAACGGTTGCAGGATTTGGGTTTAGCTAGTCTAGAGAAAAGAAGATCTGGGGCGGTCATGATAGCAGTATTCCAGTATTTGAGATGCTGCCACAAAGAGGAAGTGGTCAACTTATTTTCCAAAGCACCAGAGGGCAGGACATGAAACAATGGATGGAAACTAATCAAGCAGAAAAGCAACCTGGAATTAAGGAGAAACTTCCTAACAGTGAGGACAATTAACCAGTGGAACAGCTTGCTTTCAGAAGTTGTGGGCCCTTCATCACTTAAGGTTTTTAAGAAGAGACTGGACAGTCACTTATCTGACTGTCTTATCTGACTTATCTGATTGAGACTAGAAAACCTCCAAGATCCCTTCCAGCTCTATTCTGATTGGAATAAGAAAACCTGTCAAAGCATAAGTCCACAATATTTTTATAAAATCAGTTTTTGCATTTGAGTGGCATCATGGAGTCTATGTTTCCAAAAGTTTATAGATTCAGGACAAAACATTATTAGGATTACTTCCTGCATATTCAATTTCTCATACTGACAGTTACAATTTGGTGGCAAGAGGAGGTGACTGGAAATCTTGAGGGAACACATGTACTTCTGAATTTTTAGCTTGGACATTCCTGATTTCTCCAATTAATCAATGTCTCCTAGTATTGGCTGTCAGAGGTAGATTGGGACATAATCTTCAATAAATTAATAAAGGTGATTGATATCTAATATTATCACAAAGTTAGTATAATATTGTCTCATTTTTAAAAATAGTTGTAGATAATTGTTCTGGTATTTGGGTTTTTTTAAAGTGAGTGTGAAAATCCACTTTCACAAAATTAATGATATAAATGTTAAGAGGCTCTTCAATGCCTTTTCACATAAAACGTTAGTTCCTCTGTGAAATTTTATCCTAATGTAATGTTTTCTCCCCCCTAATTGTTTTGATGTGATATCTGAGAAGAAATCTGCTGACATTTCCATTCAATGGTTAATGAAGCCACTTAGTTCCAAAATTTTCTCTTCCATCTTGGGAGAGAAAATAGGCATTTGTCGAATACATATTAATCTTTTTTTAAATAAAATTTTATTATAAATTAGAAACAAAAAAACAGAATAAGGATTATAACGAAACACAATCACATACATAAGACTGAGGTTGATTCAACCCCCATATATATACAGTTTCTAAATAACATTACATATCATCATACTACAGCTTCAATTTGGTTTATCATACTGCATCTTGCATTTGTTAATCTTCTTATATCTAATATTCCCTTATTTATATTTAGCTTGCTATTTACATATCTATGCTACATGCTTCCCTAACATCTACCTCATGACATTTTTACTTTATCCATTATCCATTGGTACCATTTATCCCAGCTTTGATTGAAAATTGATTCTTGTCTATCTTTAAGTATATATGTTAATCTATCACATTCTGCACACCACCACAAAATTTTGTTGATAATCATCTGATCTGATGGTACTTCCTTTCCTTTCCAAAGTTGCGCATATGCAGTTCTAGCCGCTGTGGTAATGTGTATGAAAAGGTACCAGTCTGCTTTCCTTATGCCCCCAGGGTTTATTCCTAGCAAGTAGACCTCTGGTCTCAGTTGAAAACTGACTCCTGTAATCTCCATGAGCCAAACTTTTATCTTACCTATTAATCTTTAGGGAACAATTGTGCTTTGCAGAATATGCTTGAAAAGTATGGTTTAGGGCAGGGGTGTCAAACTCGCAGCCCGCAGGCCAGATACATCACGCGCTGGCCATGCCCATCTCCAGTTTAGCAAAGGGGAAAAAAGTCATGTTATGTCACGTGACGACAACATGATGCTGCGAGTTTGACATCCCTGGTTTAGGGCATTCATGATGAATATCAACAACTGTAATTATGCCTAATGAGCAACCAATGTAGATATTTCAGTACAAACTTCATATATTTCCTAAGCACAGCTTAGTTTACTTGCCATTATTTGCACTATTTCTAGACATTTTTCAAGGGAAACCTCATACAGGCTACGTTGCAATAATCAGGATGGAATGTTACCAGCAATGTAGCTTACATGAAGTTGGCTTTGAAAAATCTGGAAATTACAAGTGGTGAAAATAATGGCAAGTAAATCACTAGCTGTATAATTCATTATTGTAAAATTAATTATTAAGCTTATAATTGGCCACAGCTGGAACCAGTAATTATATAATTAAAGTCTTTGCCACAGCCACCATTTGCAAATCCAATGACAGTACTTGCTCTTTCAGGGGCGTGCTATCCCACCCAAACAGGCTAAAACCAGTGGTGACGTCCATTTTTTTTTTACTACCGGTTCTGTGGGTGTGGCTTGGTGGGTGTAGTGTGGCTTGGTGGGCGTGGCACGGGAAGGATACTGCAAAATTTCCATTCCCACCTCACTCCAGGAGAAGGATACTGCAAAATCCCCATTCCCTCCCACTCCTGGGGGAAGGATATTGCAAAATCTCCATTCCCACTCCACTCTGGGGCCAGCCAGAAGTGGTATTTGCTGGTTCTCCAAACTACTCAAAATTTCCACTACCGGTTTTCCGAACTGCTCAAAATTTCCGCTACCAGTTCTCCACAACCTGTCAGAACCTGCTGGATTTCACCCCTGACTAAAACACAATCACTTTATGTCATGGCTCAGAATTCAGACTCTGACAAAGCTGCTTTAGTCAAACCTATGGAATGTAAGCTTCAGAAACTACCTAGCCAGGAATCACTTGAAGCTGATCAAACACAGGTACCATCAGAACAGCCGGAGTAGTGAGATGATGGGACATGAACCCCAAGCCCTCGGACTCTGAGTAGAGTATAATTAAGAACAAGAATAGTTAATGAGGCTCCTCGCCAAGCAAGGGGGTAACTGTCTTGATTAAAGATAACTTGGTCACACTTTTTATATAGATGGTTAGGGAGCAGCATTATGTTGACTCAGATTCTATATTCTACATTGGAAGTGAACATAAAACTAGTAGTATAAAATATGTTTCAAAACAAAAGAATTGCCTTTAATAATTTCTTTTTTAGAACTTTCATTGCAAAGATATAATTATTTACATCTAAAATTACCAACAGTCAATATTCAGCAACAAAATTTTATTTTAAATTCTACAAAAGCTTCTCTTGGGAACAATTAAAGTCAGGACAAAACTAATTTATGCTCATAGCGCTTCATGCTATTTTCAAGAACTACAACTTTGTCTCTGTAATGCACACCCACATGCTAACCAGTATGTACTCATGTTGGATTATAGTTACTGTCAATATGTAAATGCAACAATCCACCAGAAGGTAATTATTTAAATTTTTATGCACATATCCTGAATATACAAGTGGGCCTTTGAACAAAATGCCACAATATGGAATTTTCATATTCAGTATTCTACCCACTTAGTTCCATTATTCATTTTTCACTTCCCCCACAAAAATCAATATTATGTAATGCTTGTTTCCAATTTCTATCTGTGCACAGCTTTTATTCTAGTCACTCTGTTTCATGTTTCCTGGTTTTTATTTTTCCTAATCATTCTACTCCATGCTACATCTATAATTTTTTTTCCTGTTTTCCAATACCACGCCATACTATTTCTTCTTCAATTTGATTGTCAGTTCTCCCCTTCTCTCAGGATTATCAACATTTTATTCCACTATGTTATTGTTAAAAGGTTTTCTCCTTTTATGTTTTTGTTTAGATATTCTTCCATCTTTTCTCTTCTTGGAGTTTGCCCTGAACATAGGATATTCTCTATTTTTTTTCCTCCATCTCTGTATGCATGAGATGACTCTATTCATTTATTAGGAATTTAATAGGAATTGTGGTGATTTTATGTATCTTAGAACAGGGGTTCCCAACCTCCGGTCCGTGGACCTGCACTGATCTGTGGTATGCCAGAAACCGGGCCATACAAACAAGCAAATCCCCATCCAGAGACACAGGTAGAACATGAAACCATGCCCTCTCGGGTCTAGGGAAAAACCTCTCTCCATGGAACCAATCCCTGGTGCCCAAAAGGTTGGGGCATTAAGAAAGTACATCAACCTAATATATTTTGATGAAGGCCATAAAAATTCATCAAATACTATAAGATCCTTAAACACAGAAACATGATATGCATAGAATACTGGAGGCAAAAGGATGAATGTTTTGGGTCAGCACTTTGCATTTCTATTCTGTATAACATTTGGGTACATTTATAATGAAATCTATCTGATTTAAGTAAATGTATGATGAAATCTGATCTGATTTATGGTGCCCTGCCACTACAGCTGACAGCCAACAAAAGGAAATGGCAATGCAATGACATATAAATTGGCAATACCTTATATCACTTATGCACAACTGAAACCTTGGTATGAGCTGCATAGCAAACCAGCAAATGCCGCTATTGCTAACATTACAGTGTAGATGAGCCAAATTTAACATTCTGTAACCTTGAGCATTTATGTAGATCTCTGTGCAACAAAAAGCCTTCACATAAATGGTTTCAGAAATGCAAAGAGAATAGATTCAACAATGTTTCTAGTGTGTATTTGAAAGGGCACCAAATCACCATTTAAATAATCCTTATATTCTGAAGTGTTATGAGTATTATTAGAAGAAAGAAAATTTATCTGTTTTTTTTTAATAACTAAAAAAGGGGGGTGGTAAATTATTTATTTACCTGGGATATTGTTGGGACCAATGACACCAGGGGTTAAATGCTACCGGTTCACACCAGTTCGGATGAACCTATAGTAATAAAAGCTACCGGTTCAGGTGAACCGGTAGTAAAAAAATGCTACCAGTTTGTGCAAACCAGTATTTCTGAT